TAATTTAGGCTATCTCAAAACAAAAAATCTCAAAAAAACCTATCTCAAAAATAAAAAGGGTAGGGCTGGGGATGTGGCTCAGTAGTAAAGGATCCCTGGGTTCAATCTCCAGTATCCTTACATGCCTAAACTGCCAAAGCTAGCCTTGGCAATTTGGATTTCTTAAGTAGTAAACAAAGGTTTACTACTTGCATGATGAGATTTTCTTGGGAGAACAGGATGGCTCCCAAATAGGCTCCAGAATAAAGTGATAACAGGAAAAATGACTCACTTCAAGGTGTTACTGTGGTTAATGGGTATGGCAAAAATAAGGGCTCCAATGCACACGCTGGCTTGTGTGGCTCTAACTTCCCTTCAAATCCAAACCTGGGAGTGTCTGGGCTTTCCTATAGGCTGTCAATGTGGAGAGCAAAGGAGAGGGGAAGAGGTGGGGCTTCAAAGCTGTCAAATGTCAAATACAGAGTCATACTCTAGTACATGAACGCATTAGACAAAAATAAAATAAAATAATTAAAAGGAAATATTGGCCAACAAAGATGACACTGCTGGAAAGAAAGAAAAGGGATACCACAGGACACAAATTTCAAAATGAATGTAAGTGGGCTGAGTGCAGTAATTGCATACCTGAAATTCCAGCCACTCTGGAGGTTGAGGCAAGAAGATTACAAGTTCAAAGCCAGCCTCAGCAATTTAGCAAGACCCTCATCAACTTAGTGACACCCTGTCTCAAAATTATAAAAAGCAGAAATAGGACTGGGGATGTAGCTCAGTGGCAAAACATCCTTGGGTTAAATCCCCAGTATCAAAATATATATATGGAGAAACAGAAGAAATAGCTGAGGAGGGACAATACTAATATTGCCACCTGCTGTCAGAGGGACTAAGTGAAAGGAAACAAATGAATGAGGAAAGTGATTGGTACAAAAAGGATGTCTCAGAGTAAGTGATACTGTTTTCCTGGTTTAGGTTTTTGTTGTTGTTGTTTGTAGTAATAGGGACAAAATCCAGGTCCTGATGCATGCAAGGCAAGTGTTTAACACTGAGTCACACCCCCTCACACCCTAAGTCAACTGTGTGTATCATTTCTATATTTGATGTTCTACTAATATGGTAATGTCCTAAATATTGGTGGGATACTTGAAATATCTAAATGAATCACAAGAAACATGCAAAATCAATTATTTCTATATGCAACAGTAACAATTTGAAATTCTATTCATATGACATTATGTACCAAGGTATGTTTGTGSGGGACAGTACAGGGGATTGAACCCAGGGGCACTGTACCACTGAGCTACATCCCCAGCCCTTTTTTTAATTTTAAGACAAGGTCTCACTAAGTTGCTTAGGCCTCATTAAATTGCTGAGGTTGGCCTCAAACTTGCAACCCTCCTATCTCAGCCTCCTAAGTTGCTGGGAGTACAGGTATGCACCACTGTGCCCAGCTCAAGGTGTAATTTTAGTGAAAATAAACAACTTTTCTAAGAACAAATAAGAAATGGTTGAACAGAGGGCTGGCAATGCATCTCAGAGATGGCTTCCCATGCACTAGACCCTGGAGGAACAATCCCCAGTACCATAAAATATAAAATAGAATGGTTGTAGAAATATAAAATAGAACTTGTTAAATGTAATATCCTATAGACAACTCACTATTTGACACCTCACCCAGGGGCAGGTAAGGTTAGAATGGGACATCTGAGCTGTGGGCAACCAAGCGGAGTCCAATCCCAGGATAGGTAACACAAGGCCCCTGTGAGGGCAGCCTTTTTTAGCTTCCCTGTCCAGGATACTAGTGTTTCCTTCTAGGCAATGATACCATGGGATAGACTAGAATATACATCACAGATGAGCAATTGGGTAATTTACTAAAACAATCAGCAGAAACAAGTTTTCAATAGCCCAACACTCTCTTGAGAAGTCTTCTGAAACATTTGCTTCCTACCCCTTTCTTGACCATGCCTTTTGTCAGATATCCTTCCTAAATGAACTGCAAGGCACATCTATAAATTGTGTAACCTTAAGTTTCTAATCTTCTATTTGCTTGTTTCCTCAACTGTAAAATAGTAGTGATGATAGTACTAATATTGCATACACCATAAGGGAGGTACTTTTTGGATATATTTCAATTACTATCATTTCAACATAATTGTAAAGGGTTTAACTAATAAAACATTTTATGATTTTTTAAAATATATTTTGGATATGTGACCCATGCTGAGTTAATGTACAAATATGAGGTTTCAACTAAAGTTCATTGTATTTGCATATGAATATCCAGTTGCAATATCATTTGTTAGAAGACTCTTCTTTTCAGTTGAATTGCTACCTTCTTTGTCAAAAATCAGTTGGCACCCACATTTGCATTCTCAACAACTCAGGAAATTGAGGCAGGAGGATGCAAGTTCAAGGTCAGTCTAGGAAACCAGGTGAGACCCTTTATCAAAATAGAAAATAAGGGGCTGGGGTTGTGGCTCAGCAGTAGAGGGCTCACCTAGCATATGTGAGGCCCTGGGTTCAATCCTCAGCACCACATAAAAATAAATAAATAAAGGTATCGGGTTCAACTACAACTAAAAAATAAATATTAAAAAAATTTTAAATAAAAAGAGTTTATGATGGGGCTGGGGTTATGGCTCAGTGGTTGAGTGCTCACCTAGCTCATTGGAGGTGCTGGGTTCAATCCTCAGCACCATGTAAAAATAAATAAATAAAATAAAGGTATTTTGTCCAATTACAATTAAAGAAATATTAAAAAAAAAAAAAAAAGAGTTTAGGATGCAGTTCAGTGAGACTGCACGGTGAATTCAATCCCCAGCACAGAAATAAATAAATAAATACATTGACCAGCCAGCATGGTGGCACAATCCTGTAACCCCAGCTACTTGCAAGGCTAAAGCAAGAAGATCACAAGTTCAAGACCAGCCTCAGCAACTTAGGGAGATATGGACTTAAAATAAAATAAAAATGTCTGGGTATGTAGCTCAGTGGTACAGCACCTGCTTGGCAAGCATGGGGTCTTAAATTCCATTCCCAGCACACTACAAAAAAAAAAAAAGTGTCAATTTCTGAACTCTATTCTGCCCCACTGGTCTATCTCCTCACCAATATTATGCTACCTTGATTACTCTAACTTCATTTCTTAAAATTGGTGATTCCTCCAACTATTCGTCTTCTTCAAAATGGTTGTGGCTGGCTACTCAATCCTTTTGTGTTTTTTTCATTATATACTGTCCTTCTTTATTCCTGGTAATTTTCATTGTTCTAATGTCTACTCTGTTTAATATTAATAGAGCCATATCAAATTTCTTCTGCTTATTGTTTACATGTTATTTCTTTTTCATCTTTTTTTTTTTTCCTTTTCAGTGCTGGGGATTGAACCCAGGACCTTGTGCATGAGGCAAGCACTCTACCAACTGAGCTATCTCCTCATCCTCATCCCCTCATCTTTAAACTCTCTCTATAGTCATACATATAATGACTTTCTTGCTTCCTACCTCCTTTCTTGACCATGCCTTTTGTCACAGAAATCCTTTCTAAATGAATTGCAAGGCACATCTATAAATTATATACCCTTAAGTACACAACAAAGTTGGGTCATGGGTTTTTTGGGTTTTTTGAATCCATTTTGACAATTTCTGTCATTAATTGGTGTATTTATGCCATTTATGTTGTGTTCCTAAAAGAGTTTAAAATAGAAAGCTTAAAATTGCTCTTAGATGGGCTGGGGATGTGGCTCAAGCGGTAGCGCGCTTGCCTGGCATGCGTGTGGCCCAGGTTCGATCCTCAGCACCACATACAAACAAAGATGTTGTGTCCGCCGAAGACTAAAAAAAAATAAATATTAAAAAATTCTCTCTCTCTTTAAAAAAAAATAGTGAAATTAAAAAAAAAAAAAAAGACTGCTCTTAGAAAGGCCTGCTTACAAGGATGGCCCCTGGCTGGTCTTTGGGAACTTAATGGTAAACAGAGGCTCATACTTTGCCTAAATGATAGCTCACTGTGCCTACATTGTACAGTGTACATTATGATGAACACCTGCATGCCTTCCAGATGCCTGGAAGCTCACTGACTACTGTCAGTCACACCAGCATTCTATTCCTACATGGCTGGCTCTCAATAAGGATCCAAGAGACTGGGAGCATATTTCAATGGCACAGTCCTTGCCTAAAGTGCATAAGTGTGGGAAGCCATTCTCGCATGTGATTGGGCACCTCCCTGATTGGGTGTRAGGCGTTCTGGCCAAACTGTGTCCGAGCTAATCCCCACCCTCTCCAGGTGCGAGAGCCTGTGTGRGGGTATGACTGACCATTGACCCTGAGACCAATCACTGACCCTGACCTTGGAATGCTGCCCCCCTCGACCTTCATTGGATGGAATTTTCCCCTGAATTTCTTGTTCCCCAATAAAAGGCCACTCCCTGGCATGCCCTGCCTCTCTCTCCTGCTAGTCCTGAGTAAGCCTTACTGCCCCACTGGGTGATTCGAGGCGGGAACCAGAGGGAGGGCCGTCTCAGACCTGGTCAAAGAAAAAGGTAATTGAGTCTTGTGTGTTTATTTTGATCTCACTACTTAACTTCTATGCTACAAACCTCTCGTATGAAGCCAGCGTGTTTGGTCGCGCTGTTGACATAAGGCTTAGGTTTGATTCCCAGAATGGCAAAAAAATAAATAATAAATAAAATCTTAAATAATTATAAATGAAAAAAGCCAATTTTTAAAAGTTATGGATCAAATCTTTAATTGAATTTTTTCAAAAATAGCACACTTTTCAAATGTGTTCAGTGTAATAATGTATATTTCACATAACAATACTGCTTCAATATACATATGTACTTGCTGAGGTACACTACTGTAGTATAAATGGAATATTTTGAGGCATACATAATACCAGAAAAGAATTTTTTAAAATTATAGACTTCACAAGCTCACAGTTCTACTAGTATCAGTTCTTTATTGTTAAATGGTTTGACTGAAATAAGTGGAGTTTTCCTATAAAAGTAGCTTTAAGACAGGGGCTGTATGGACTAATGCTACATGCATCGCTATATGTTAACATCCAATTTACTTCAGTTCTCTGTGACTTGAATGTCAATATACCTGTGTCCCATGTTTTCTCAGTTTTTTGTTTTGTTTTTTTCTCACCAGGGCCATTTCATATACTCTTCCATTTAGAGTTCAACCAAAGATGAAATGTACACCTCATTTCTTCAATTTTCCGCTTCTGAGCAAAATGGATTGAGGATCAGGAACCAGATTAATCTTACCACCTGAAATAATTTAAAAAAATGAATTGATAAAATGCAAGAAAAGAATGGTTTCCAAGACCCCAAACACCAGACCACAAAAGAGAGTAATCCTTTTGAGATAGGAAAGAAATGAGATGAGCCCTATAAGTGCCCCTGCTTACTGACTTGAGATGTTTTAGATCACACTGAGGCACAGCCTGAAGAATTCCCTGAATTGAAGAAACAGATTTATTTGAGAGTCTGGGAAGACCAAGGCAGCTATATTCATAGAACCAGAGAGAGAGAGAGAGCAGCAGAGAAAGAAGACCCTAGATATCTGCAGTGTCCTCCTTGAACATTCTTGAATCCAAGGCCTGGCATCTACCAGCTCCCAGTAGAGTATTTATTAATTAGTACATGAGTTAAGGAAATTAACTATGTATGGTAAAAGAACCATCCAAAAGGTCAGAAGAACAGTGACAGTGATCACACAGGGTTTACCAAGCCAAGGCAGCCAAAGTAAGGAGAGCATCAGACTGAAGAATCTATCAGGCCAAATGGAAAAATACCATAAGTCATGGGCCATTGGGTAGTATACTCAGGAAGGCCTTACCTGAGTAGTGGGGAATAATTAGTACTTAAATGAAGCAATGTTCTCCACCTAAACAGAACAAACAAACCCTAAACAGAAGATGAAGAACAGAAATAATCATAGTATTTTCAAACAACTAAAAGCTCAAGAAGGGCTGGAGACGTAGCACTGTTGGTACAGTGCTTGCCTTGCATGCACAAGGCCATGGGTTCAATCCCCAGCACCACCAAAAAAAAAGTTCAGGAAGATTTATAATAATTTATAAGAATACAAAAATATCCAGCATCCAAGAAGTAAAATTCACAATGCATAACTTTCAGTGAAAGATCATCACGTAAGCAAACAGGCAAGAAAACATGACCTATAATAAGGATAATTACCAAAACCACTCAGCACTGACAATGATGTTAGGAGTACACAGAAGAAACTGGGCACAGTTGCACAGGCCTCTGATCCCAGCAACTTGGTAGGCTGAGGCAGGAGGATTACAAATTCAAGACTAGCCTCAGCAATTTAGCCAACCCCCGTCTCAAAATAAGACATAAAAAGGGCTGGAGATGTGGTTGAGTAGTTAAACACTTCTGGATTCAATCTCCAGTACCATAAAAATACTTAAAAAGTACACAGAAAAGTTAAATGTAGGCACAAAAAATTTTAAAAGGCCCAATCAAAATTCTGGAAATAATGATAATGGCTGAGATGAAAAATATATTGAGGGGCTGGGGTTGTGGCTCAGTGGTAGAGTASTCATCTAGCATGTGCGAGGCCCTGGGTTTGATCCTCCGCACCACATATAAATAAATAAATAGGTATTATGTCCAACTACAAGTAAAAAATCATTTTTTTTAAAGAAAAATACATTGAATGTTGAGCCAGGTGAGCTTTCACACACCTATAATCCCAGAAGCTCGAGAAGCTGAGGCAGGAGTTTAAAGCCAGAATCAGCAACTTAATGAGACCCTGTTTCTAAATAAAATTCAAAAAAAGGGCTGGGGATGTGGTTCAATAGTTAAGTGCCCCTGGGTTCAATCCCTGGTACCTAAAACAAACAAACAAAAAGATTGGATGTGATGAAAAGCAGATTAGACATTCTGGAAGAAAGATCACTAACTTGAAAGCAGTCAAGTTCATTTTTCCAAGAAAAAAAATCCAGAAAACTGAGAACATTAGTGAGCTTTGTGATGACTTCAAACAGCCTAAAATACAAATGACTGGAGGGAGCAGCAAAAAATATATATTCGAAGAAATAAGAGCCTATAACTTTCCACACTAAAACAAACACAAAAACCAAAGCTCAAATGAAACCTAAACAAAAGAAAAATTAAGTAACGACACCAAGAAACATCATAATTAAATTGCTCAAAACACGTGATTAAAAAAAAAACTTAAGGGGCTGGGGTTGTGGCTCAGTGGTAGAGCACTTGCCTAGCAGGTGCCAGGCCTTGGGTTCCATCCTCAGCACCACATAAAAATAAATAAATAAAATAAAGGTATTGACAACAACAACTAAAAAAAAAATGAATAAAAAATAAATAAAAACTTAAATGCAGCTGGAGGTGTAGCTCAGCAGCAGAACAAATACTTAGCAGGGAGGCCTCAAGTTCAATCCCCAGAACCAAAAAAAAAAAAAGTTACATAATACACAGATATAGATGGCCGGGTGCATCAGTGCATGGCAGTAATCCCAGCTACTCAGGAGGCTGAGACAGAAGGATCGTGAGTTCAGAGCCAGTCTCATCAACGGTGAGGTGCTAATAAGCAACTCAGTGAGACCCTGTCTCTAAATAAAATATAAAATAGGGCTGGGGATGTGGCTCAGAGGTTAAGTGCCCCTGAGTCAATCTCCGGTACAAAAAAAAAAAAGCTATGGATGACAAATTTGTTGGAAACAATGCATGTAAAAAGATAATGGATGTTTTAATTAGCTTTTTTTGGTGTTGCTGCACCCAAAAAAAAGTGACAAGAACAATTTTAAGGAGGAAAAGTTTATTTGGGGGGCTCACAGTTTCAGAGGTATCAGTCCATAGATAGCCAACTCCATTCCTCAGGGCTGAAGTTTAAAAACTGAAAGTAAGGGCCTGGGGATGTGGCTCAAGCGGTAGCGCGCTCGTCTGGCATGCGTGCGGCCCGGGTTCGATCCTCAGCACCACATACCAACAAAGATGTTGTGTCCGCCGAGAAGTAAAAAATAAATATTTAAAAAAAAAAATTAAAAACTGAAAGTAAGACATCCCATTCAGGAAGACACAGCAGATAAGACTTTATACTCCTCCCACCCAGAGCAGCTAAATACTCTCAACATTACAGCAAATAAACATAGCACGGCCAGCTCAGTGGTAGAGAATGTGTAGTTGTTTTGTTTTGTGGGTTTTTTTTTTCTTTGTTTGTTTTGGTACTAGGGATTGTACCCAAGGGTGCTTAATCACTGAGCCATATCCTCAACACTTTCTATTTTTTATTTGAGACAGGGTCCACAAGGTCCAGCTAAGTTGCTCAGACTAGTCTTGAACTTGCAATCCTCCTGCCTTAGCCTACAGAGTTGCTGGGATTAAAGGCACATACCACAGTGCCCTGCAGAGTATGTGTTTTATGTGTTTAGCAAACAAGGCACTGGGTTTGATCATCAGCATCCTGCACACACAAATCAAACAAACAACAACAACAACAAAAAAGAAAAAAAAAAAAAAAACCCCTACCAACTGAAAAGCTGAAAGAAAATGCAGACAAAGAAAGAATCTTGGGACCAAATAATGGCATGGTGCTGGGTTCCCAAGTTTTCTTTTTGCCTCATATATTCTAGGCCAGACATTAGATAAGTCAGCAATCTGAAAATATTAATGGAAGCAAATTTATGTTTATTTTTTTTTTGTGGTGCTGCAGATGGAACCCAAGGCCTTGAACATGCCAGGCAAGCATGGCACTGCTGAGCTATACTGCCAGCCCAGTTTATAGATTTTAGAAGCCTAAAAGAACCCCTTCTCTTTCTAGCCAAAGGACCAGGAGAAAGCAGCCTTACAAGATAGAAAACCTGCTTCAGCCAAACTTCATAGGGTGGGCGGGGGGACCAGACATGATGCCACTAGTATACTCATGTCAGCAAAAGATCTAAGGTGAACCCAGACTTCCACCCTCACTAGGCCTGCAAAACAAGTCAAACCTCACCCTCTCAGTCAAGGTGCTATTATCGAAGGTCTAGTGAAAGCCTGAAGTGGGAGCTTCCCTTCTCACTAATAACAAGGCATGCCTCTTACTCCCATCTCAGATTGTCAAAAGAGGAAAAAACCTAAAGGACAGTAATGAAGTGTCAGCTCCCCTCCCCATGCATGCTGTATCAGAGAAAACCTACTAAAAACAGGAGCTATAAATAAAAGCCAAAGTCTCATAATGCTCAAACTGTCCAGGATCTTTTTTTTTTAAGCATCATTACCAAGAAAGAGGAAAAATTTCCACTTGAACGAAATATAAAATCAACATCAAGATTTTGGCATATCTCACAAGGATTTTTAAGCATCCATCCAAAAATGCTTCATTGAGCAATCAAAACTCGTGCTTGAAAAGACTGGAAAAAAAAAAAAAACAGAATGACTCAGCAAAGAAACAGACGACAACTGAATGATCCAAGAAGAAATGCTAGAAGGAAAAATATAATTACCAAAATAAAAATTACTCACTGGATGGGCTCAAAAGCAGAATGGCGTCAAATAGGTGGGAAAATCAGTGAACATGAATTTTTTTTGGCAGGGGGGAGAGATAATGGGAATTGAACCCAGGGCCTGATGTACACTAGCTAAGTGTTCAACCACTGAACTACAATACCCAGCCCACAGTGAACATGAACACAGAATAGAAACTACTCAATCTGAACAGAGAGAAAAAAATGAACTGAAACTCAGAAACCTGCAGGACTATCACAAAAGATCTAACAATCATGTTATCAGACAGAGTACCAAAGAAAGGAAAAACAGTTTGAGGCGAAAAGCATTAAAAAAAATAGCTGAAAGTATCTCAATTTGACAAAGAAGCATAATGTTTGAGTTGATGTAGAAAAGGCATTTAACAAAATCCAACACCATCCATTTCAGAAAGTTAGAAATAAGGGGAATCACTTCAACTTGATAAAGAGTATCTATAAAAACTACAGCTAACATCACACTTAATTGTAAAAATTGCAGATTTTTCCCAAGTTTGGGAACAAGGAAAAGATGTCAAAAGAATTTTTTTTTTTTTTTGTACTGGGGGATCAGGGGTTGAACACAGGAACACTTAACCACTGATCCATACCCCCCAGCCCTTTTTATATTTTATTAAGAGACAGGGTCTTGCTAAGTTGCTTTGAACTTGTGATCCTCCTGCCTCAGCCTCCCAGGCTTCTGGATTACAGTCACCACTCATTTTTTAATATTTATTTATTGCTATATCCCCAGCCCTTGCAATCCTTCTGAGTCAATGGAATTACAGGGATGGGTCACCATAGCTGGCTCATCACTCTTATTCAACATGGTATGTAAAATAGGCAAAAGCCAGGTACAAACCATTATTCCATCAACTGGTGAGGCTGTGGCATGAGGATCACAAATTCAAGGCCAGTCTCAACAATTTAGTGAGGCCCTAAGCAACTTAAAAGAGACCATGTCTCAATACAAAAAAATAAAAACTAGGGGGTGTAGTTCAGTGGAAAAGCTACCCAAAGTTCAATTTCCAGTCCAGGAAAAAAAAAAAAAGAAAAGAAAGAAAGAAAAAATGGGCTGAGGCAGTGGTAAAATTCCCTTAAATTCAATCCTGAGTACTGTTTAAAAAATAAATAGATAGATAGATAGATAGATAGATAAATAAATAAATAAATCATTTAGAAAATAAATAAATAAAATCATTAAAAAAAAGTCAAGAAAAGGAAATAAAGGCAGAATGGAACAAAAGTAAAATGTGTCCTATTTAAAGATGGCATATGTTCTACATAAAAACAAATCCCAAGAAATATGAAAAATAAGCCTTCCTAGATCTAATATTTTTACCTAGCACATAGAATATATAAACAACACAAAAATCAAGTATATTTTCAAATATAATTGAAAATGCCTATGAAAAAAACTCAAGAAAATCTTAAGAAAATGAAGAGTACACTATGTAATAGTATGTGAAAAGCTCAACATTGTAAAGATTGGCAATTCTCTCCAAAATGACACAGGTTTAAAATATTTCCTATCAAAATTCCAGCAAGAGGGCTCAGAATGTTGCTCAGCAGCAGAGTGCTTGCCTAGCATGCCTGAGGCTTTGGGTTCCATCCCTCCCCAGCACCACCAAAAAAAAAAAAAAAAAAACCCACAAATTTCATTACTGGTTTCTTTCAATGTCCCCAAAATTCATCCATGTTGTAGCAGGTAATAGAACTGCCTTTCTTTTCAAGGTCTCCATATATGCCACATTTTGTTTATCTATTCATTTATAAATGGGCACTTGGGTACTTCCACTTTTTTCCTCCCATTTATTTTTGCCAGGCTGGGAACCAAACCCAGGGCATCTTGCATGCTATGCAAGTTATTCCTACTCAGCTACACTCCCATCCTACTTCCAGTTTTTGACTATTTGAATAATGATGCTATGAATGTGGGTTGGCACAAATCTGAATCCTTGGGGCTGGGAATATAGCTCAGTTGGTAGAGTGCTTGCCTTGAATGCACAGGCCCTGGGTTCAATCCCCAGCACCTCTCCCCACAAAAAACAAAAATCTAAATCCATGCTTTCATTTTTCTTGAATATATGCCCAAAAGTGGAATTACTAGATTATATGGTAATTACATTTTTATTTTTTGAGCAAGAGCCATACAGTTTTCCATAGTAGCGGTACCATTTTATATTTCTACCAGCAGTCCACAAGAGCATCTTTCTTAGTTTAAGGATGARAAAAAAAGTCTGAATCATAAAGAAAATATATGAAGCCTAAGACAAAGCCCTGAACTTACTCACAAATTGCTCAATTCGAGTTCTTTCCAAATGAATTTTCAAAAGAAATCAGTGCAAAATGCATTTAAAGATATGACTAGGGAAAAAAATAATTCGGGGTGGAAGGGGAGGTGGCAAATAGATGACTGCACTATACACACCCAGCTTCCAGACCAGAAGGCAAAGAAAATCCACGAGGAAATATTTCAGATCAAAATACTGTATACTAATTTAGTAAAGCTGATGAAGGAAAAGTACAGGGGAAAGATAATGATATAAAAGAAATAAAGTTTTTGGAGAAAAACTATTTACTAATGGAGCAAGAAGTGGGAAGAAGTTTTGAGAAATAGTCTTGTGCAAGTTCTGACCTTTCAATATATGAATGTATTGCCTCAAAAATTTTCTTAAAACGCCAGGCACGGTGGCTAATCCCAGTGGCTCCAGAGGCTGCGGCAAGAGGATCCCAAGTTCAAAGCCACTCTCAACAATTTAGCGAGGCTCCATGCAACTCTGCCAGACTCCGTCTCTAATAAAATACAAAAAAGGTCTGGGGATGTGGCTCAGTGGCTAAGTGACCTAGTTCAATCGCCACTATCTAAAAAATAAGATGAAATAAAAAACCTTTACCATCACAACTCAATACCCGTGAAGGGCACCCTGACATGAGAGCAGCTCTCTAGTGCCTCCAAATCCCTTCAGGTCCACCAGTCAGTCCCTGAATGCAACATCCGGGCTCTGAGAAAAGATTCTTCAGAATCGGTCCTTTCTGGTCTGTGCAGGGTTAAGGGGAAGGCGCTCTAACCAAGCCAAAGATCCTCTGGAATCCTACTGCCATGACCAGCCCTAACCTCAAATCCCAGCAGGCAGTCCCACTCCAACTGGGTCCAATCCCAGGAGAACACAGGTGTGCGGCCCTGGACTTCAGACCTCCCGCTGGATGTCCTTCACCTGGGGCACTAAGTCTCCACGTGTCGGCTCCCAAACCAGGTCCCTAGGTGATTCCTTGGAGCACCTAGAATGCGGAACTCCAGGGACTTGGCAGAGACTAAGAAGTGGAGGCTTGTTTACCATCACCGTGGAAACCCCCCGCAGCGCGCAAGGCGGGGCTTCTGAGGGGCGGAACTAGACGGGAAGCTTCCAGAAACCTTACCACTTCCGGCGTTGCGGGAGGGCCACATCCCGAACACCTGGAAGCGCAGTCGGTGGACCCACGTCCCCATCCAACTGTCGACGGCAGGCGTGACCCCGAGCTGACCCCTCATGATCTACCCCTTTTTCAGGGAGGCGGCCAAGTCTGGCCTTCAGGCCATAAGGACAGCGCGAGGCGGGGCCTCAGCGGCCAACGCCCGGAGGTGGGGCTGCGGTGGCGCCATTGTTACGTGGCTAGAGCGCATTCGAAGCGGGCGGCCCGAGAGAAGGTAGTGGCTGCGCAGGCGCGAGCTTGTCCGTGGAAGGAAGGCGGGTAGGAGAACCCGGCTCTGCAGAGCGCCCCTGAGACCTTTACTACGGGCTGAGCACCGCTGTGGAAGTGAACGGGAGTCCATCCGAAGGACTTCTGATTTGAAACCCTCATGAGAGAAGGAAATGAACGTCCTTTCCTAGGAAGGAAGAAAGGAGACGGAGAAGCCCGGAGACGGGACGGGCATGAGTTGAGGAGTGAGAAACATAGATCTTGGGAAGACAGACATTTGGGTCTTCGCTGTCTTACTAAAAGTGACACCTGGTTCCCATGGGAGGCAAGACTGGCTTCTGGCCTGGTTCTCAGGGACAAATGCAGGGTCAGTAGATGTACCTTTGCTCCTGGAGAAAAGCGTCCATTTGTCTGTGTTTAAAGTCTCGGCTACCTTCAGACATGGCGTGTTTGCTCCAAACAAAGCAGACAGTTCCCCAGCCCTTGCTGAGGAGTTAAGTGAATGCACACAGTATCAGAGACCATGATTTATCATATTTGAGGGGATGGGGTGTAGCTAAGTGGTGGTGTTGCCTACCTAGCATGTGTAAGGTCACAGTATGATCTCCAGCAACACACCTACGCCAACATCTTTTCCATCTAAATATAGTCAAGTGCAACACTGTTAAAAATAATAAAAAAAGAAAAAACTCTTTTGCAAAAGTTAGTCTCCAAGGAGGAGCTTTATTTTTACTTTTCACTAGGGTAGTGGTGGTGGTTATTTCATCATGAATGACCCTGGTGTGAATCACAGAAATAGATTCAGTCACAACAGCTCTCCAGTCCCAGTCTCCAGGTTCTGACTCTTCTCAGAAATTTCAGAAATCCCTCCTGAGTCTTCCCATACCCCCTCAAATAGACATGCAGCCATCAGTTACTCAAAGTGTAGAAATCACTCAAGCTGTAAGTGGATTAAAAATGCCAATGGATAGGAGAAGTTGTGGCAAGGCAGCATTATCAAAGAGGAAGGAAGGTCACTTTTTTTTTTCTTTTTTGTTTTGGAGATTATTTTTTATTTATTTTATTTTGAGACAGGGATTCACTACATTGCCCAGGCTGGCCTTGAACTTGTGATCCTCCTCCTCAGCCTCCTGAACTGCTAGGATTACAGGCTTGTACCACTGTACCTAGGTAGAAAGATGTCTCTTTCAACCTTGTAAGTACATCTCTTCAGGAACATGAGAACACAGCAAGGGAAGGCATTGGGCTCTGACATCCCAACAAAACATAGAAAATAAGATACACAAGTATTAACATCAGTCACTATGGGATAGTCCAGCCTTTTGCAGTAACAGTGGACAGATGTTTCTTCCTATAATAAAAGATGGATATGCCAGACGTGGTGGCATAAGACTATAATCACAGGACTGAGGCAGGGATCACAGTTCAAGGCCAGTTTCTGCAACTTAGCAAGACCTGTCTCAAAATAAATAAAACTGGGAATCCAGGCTCAGTAGTGCATGCCTTAATCCCAACAGCTTGGGAAGCTGAGGCAAGAGGACTGCGAGTTCAAAGATGGCCTCATCAATTTAACGAGGACCTAAGCAACTCAGCAAGACCCTGTCTCAAAATCAAAAAATAAAAAGGGCTGGGGGAACTAGGGTTGTGGCTCAGCGGCAGAGTGTTTGCCTACCAAGTGTGACGCATTTGGTTCAATCCTTAACACCTCATACAAAAACAAACACATGCTGTCCATCTACAACTACAAAAAAAAAATTTTTTTTTAATTGCGGGGGCTGAGGATGTAGCTCAGTGGTTAAGCATCCCTGTGTTTAATCAGAAAAGTAGAGAGTTTATTTAACATGTAGCAAGTATGATTTGGGAGAGGAGTTTTTGTCTTCTGGAATTTGGTAGTTTTCATTACATTGTGGGGGGGTAGAGGATATCTAACACTGCTGTTCAACAGAAAGATGTGAGCTTCATATATATAATTTTAAATTTCTTGTTAGCCACATTTATAAAATTAACAGGTGAAATTAATTTCAGTATTTTAATATCTAAAATGATGCAGACACTATGGAAAACACGATGGATCCTCAAAAAGTAAAAAGTAGAGTTGAGTGTGTAGTTCAGTGGTACATCAATGCCTAGTATGCATGAGACCCTAGGTTTGATCCTCAGTACCACAAAAAAAAAAAAAAATTAAACCAGATGTGGCAATACGTGCCTGTACTCTCAGCTTCTCCTGAGGGAAGAAGACAGCATGTTTGAGTCTAGCCTGTGCAACTTAATGAGACATCATCACAAAGTGAAATTTAAAAATTTGGGCCAGGGCTGGGGATGTAGCTCAGTGGTAAAGCTCCTGCCTCGCATGTGTGAGACACTGGGTTCGATCCTTAGCACCACATAAAAATTAAAAAATAAATAAATAAAGATATTGTGTCCACCTAAAACTAAAATATTAAATAAATAAATAAATAAAGATATTGTGTGTTCATCTACAATTAAAAAAAAAAAAAGTTTGGGCCAGGCGCAGTGGCACACACCTGTAATCCCAGCTGCTTGGGAGGCTGAAACAGGAGGATCCCGTGTTCAAAACAGCCTCGGCTATTTCGAGGCACTAAGCAACTCAGTGAGACCCTGTCTAAATAAAATACAAAATAGGACTGGGGATTTTGTGCCATGTTTGAGTACCCCTGAGTTCAATCCCMAGTACAAAAAAAAAAAAAAAGTTTGGGAATGTAGCTCAGTGGTAGAGCGCTTACCTAGCATGGGTAAGATCCTGGATTCAATTCCCTACCACTGCAAAAAGTGAATTTAAAAATAGAATTACATATAACCCAGCAATAGTAGTACTGACTATTCATCCAGTAGGGGACTCAAACAGATATTTGCAAACCTATGTTTTTGTGTTTTTTTAACCATATGATTGATTTATTTATTTTTTAGTCATAAATGACAGCAGAATGTATTTTGACATATAATACATACATGGAATGTACATACATCAATCATAATGTCTATTCTATTCTGCTGCCCTTCCTATCCCCCCTACTCCTCCCCTCCTCTCCCATAAACCTATGTTTATAATAGCATTATTCATAATAGTCAAAAGATGGACGTCCAAAGTGATATATACACAAAATGGAATATTACTTTATTTTTTTTTTAGAAATATTCTTTTTTTAAGGGAGAGTGAGAGAGTGTGTGAGAGAGAGAGAATTTTTTTAATATTTATTTTTTAGTTTTTTCGGCAGACACAACATCTTTGTTTTGTATGTAGTGCTGAGGACGAACCCGGGCCACTCACATGCCAGGCGAGCGCGCTACCGCTTGAGCCACATCCCCAGCCCCATTTTTTTTTATTTATATAATTTTTTTAATATATATATTTTTAACACAGTGCCTTTATTTTTATGTGGTGCTGAGGATTGAACCCGGGTCCCACCCGTGCTAGGCGAGCACTCTACTGCTGAGCCACAATCGGAATATTACTTTAAAAAGGAAGGAAATTTTGACAGGTTACACCATGCATGAATTCTATGCATGATGTTAAATGAACTAAGGCAATCACAAAAGGAATAATACTATATGATTTCACTTCTATGAGGTACCTAGAATAATCAAATTCATAGGGACAAAATAAAATGGTTGCCAGAAGTTGGGGGATGAGAAAATATGGCATAGTTAAATACGTGAGGAGTTTCAGTTTTACAAGATAAAAAGCATTCTGGTGATTGGTTACACAACAACATAAAGTTCAAGACAGTGTGTAGTTTACACCCCTGATATGTACACTTTTTTTTTTTTTTTTTGACTGGGGATTGAACCCAGGGCAACTGCCCATTCACCAGGCCTTTTTTATATTTTATTTAAAGATAGCGTCTAAGTTGCTTTAGGGCCTTGCTAAATCGCTAAATTGTTGACACTGGCTTTGAACTTGCAATCCTCCTGCTGCAGGCACTGGGATTACAGATGTATGCCTTCAGGGCTGGCCTGAACTGTATAATTAAAAATGGTTAAAATAGTAAACTTTGCTAGGTGCAGTAGAATACCAACTACTGAAATACCAAGTACTCAGGAGACTGACACAGGAGGATCCCAAGTTCAAGATCAACCTGGACAACATAGCAAGAACCTGTCTCAAAATAAAAATTCAAAAGGGCTAGGGATATAGCTCAGTGACTAATTGCCCCTGAGTTCAATCCCTAGTACCAAATAAAAGTGTGTGTGTGTGTGTGTGTGTGTGTGTATGTGTGTATATATATCTCCATATCCCCAGGCATATATGTGTGTGTATATATACATATGTTTGTATATGTACATATACTATGTATATTTATGCACACATATATATGGATATGTATACACACACACACATGCATGCCTGGGGGTGTAATTCAATGCCAGAGCACATGCTTAGTATACACAAGGCCCTGGGTTCAATCCCCAGCACCAATAATAATGCTAGAAAATTTTAAAAGTAACTACGAAGTTACTCAGTGGCACTAGCCATGTTTCAAGTGCTCACCAGGCCTGTGTGACTAAAAGCCCCCTGTATCACACAGAGCAACTTCAGACTTAAAGGAAAAAAGGTTGGAAATCCCTCTATCCTCAACATGCCACTGTACAAAGGATGCCCCAGACTCCCTCTCTGCTCTAAGCCATTGACTTTCTTGACTTATTCTGGAGGGTTAGAATTCCTTTATCTGATAAGTCTTGCTCATCATTCTAATTATTTCATAATAAGCTTTCTATTGCTTTAGGGAGTTTTACTTGTATATACAGAAGAAAATGTGGCCTTCTAATATGTTATCTATCCAATTTCAAGAACTTACTCTAATTCCATTAGTCAACCATGAAATTTTACCCAAAAATAATGATTTCACATTGAGGTCACTGATCTAACATCTTAAGAATTAAAAGCAGCTTGTTATAAGGATATCTCATTTGTGAACAGGTTTCAAGGACAAAAGGGTGAAGGCGAGCTACCAGGCATCAAGAAGGTCAGCTATGACTTTTCTTCCCTTGATGGCTTAAGTGTGGTTGTTTTTTTCTTACAACTCTTAGTATAGTGTGGGCAACAGGTGCTCAATATACATTTATCTTAGACAAAAATTGGAGTTGTATTATTTTTCTATTAGTTTGTACATTTCATTACCCTCTGATGTAACAGAACCTTTTTTTTTTTTTAACATTTCTTATATGTGGCTCCTAAAACTTTTTTTCCTTTCCTTAAAAGGCATACTATCTGACTTATCCCTCAGCTTGGTGGGAAGCCCTCTCAATGTAAGTGCAGAATAATTTAATTCTCTGTATTTTCCATACCATTAAATGCTCAATAAGTTCTCAGTATTTGCCCACTAATAAAAATGTTTTTCCTAGGCGAGCAAAGTGGTGCACGCCTGTAACCCCAGCAATTCAGCAGGCTGAGGAAAGAGGAGTGCAAGTTTAAGGCCAGCCTCAACAAATAAGTGAGGCTCTGCTTACTTAGCAAGACCCTGTCTCAAAAAATAAAAAGGATAGAGCCAACCAGAGTGGTGCATGCCTGCTTCAAGAAGTTAAAGCAGGAAGATCTACAGTTCAAAGCCAGCCTTAGAAATTTAGCGAGGTCCTAAACAACTTAGCAAGACTCTATCTCCATATTAAATATAAAAAGTGCTGGGGAT